TTAATTAAAGTATGATTTGTCCTTCTGAGATTTTAAATGAATAATTGTTGAGGGCTGAACTGGTTGTCTAGTATTTAAATTTGAGAGACCTGAAAAATATGAACCTTATTTAGTATAGCATAAATGTGTTTTCTTGGTTTGTTTGTTTGTTTGTTTGTTCTGTTTCTCTCAGTTTTTCCTACCAAAAGCCCGCTACAGGATCTACTCTACTCTACTTTTTAAAATGTGCCAGCAGGGACTCTTTATATCTGCAGATTATTATATTATTATAAGAAACTGCAGATTATTATACACAAAATAAGGTGAGTTTACGGCTGTTCATTTGGTGTGAGGTTCATTCTTCTCTCTTTCACTTTATAAAGCAGAGCTCTAGTGTTACTACAGCAGCCTACCTGTGCACATCGGCCCAGCTCAGTACAGTTGAGATACTGGAATATCTTCAATGCCAACTCGTATGGCAAATCAACATCGAAGAAGGGAATGTCATTGACTTCATTCTGCAGAAGAAAGAATAACAGCACATTATACACAGACCACCATCCACACCATCGTCCTGATTTCCATCATCGTCCTCATACCAGATCTTGAATGAGTTGATCCAGCAGCTCCTCGTCCTTCTTGACCTTCCTCTGAGGCTGCTGCTTCTGCTGCTGCTGCTGCTGCAGGGATGTGCTGCAGGCATTAGTCATGTTATGATACTGCCTCTTTCTCCTGGTCCTCTCCTCCTGAATCCTGTCCAGCAGGGGACTGGTCCTCCCGTCCAGCAAACTATGTGCAATGGACACATAATCTGGCTGATCCTCTGACTCTGCTGCAGCTTCTCCTCCTCCTCCTCTTCCAACGCGTCCTTCATCCTCAGTACAACCACTATCCACTACTGGTTTTGAAGCACTACAGTCCTTGTTGAGATTTTCTTTCGAGTCTTCAAAATACCTGTTTTTAAAGTCTCTCTGGCCGGACTGACCAGGAGCATCACAGCAGGGGGAAGGAGCACAAACAAGTGGGTGCTCCTCTTTTTTAGTCGTTAACTCTTGTTTCCAACGCTTCCTGAACGCAACGAGTTCGTCCTCGGCCATATTTCTCAATCATCGTTGACAAAATGTAACATTATAGTGTTATAAAGCGGTGCAGCAGGAATGTGTTTGTTATCCAGAGCAGTTAAGGGAAGCCATAGCTCGACACCGACGCAAAATAAGCAAATGTCCTTCTCTATAAACAGTCCGAAGAGGGACATGGCGCTACTGTACACTAGTTCCGCCAGTTTTTAATTCCTCAGTTTCATTATAGAAGCGGCCATTCTCAGGGGTCATATGTGTTTTTGTGGCCACAGCTGGAAATTGTTCGGAATATGAATGCAGATATTTCATATCCAATGATAGTAGGATATGCATATCTGAATATAACACAAAATGCATCTTATACAGTTGAAAAAAAAAAAAGAAGAAGAGGAGAGAACACAATGTATGCGCACACCCTGCAACAAAAGACTCCTCAGATCAAAGCAGGCAGGAGAAATTCAAGAGTTAACCATCGCATCTCTCGTTTGGGAAAAGATGATGTAAACCCCCACACCATGTGACACTGTAATGAATAATACAGTAGAGAGAGGGGGAGAGAGAGAGGGAGAGAAAGA